AATAGCCCGATTTTCGAAAGCCACTAGTTTCGTTGGCGCCATATATTTTGTGTTTGAAATGTCATCCGCAGTAGCCTTACACCGAGTGCCTGACGATATTCACCGTTGAGCTTATCCTAGCCTCAAGCTAGTAATATTACGAATACAACTTCTGGAAAGTGTATTAATTACTGTAGCTGTATTCGAATCTGATAGGAAATCGTGTTAGCTGCCGTCAAGTCCTAGCTCCGCCAAGGAGCAGATGGAAATATAAAAAGGAAGAGCGTCTTATCTCAGATGAATTTGATAAAATAAGACTCTCTTCAAAATTATACCGAGATACCACTGGGCGTTACTTGTAGGTATGTATGTACTATCCCCACGGAGACAGGTGTGCCGTTTCATAGACCTTGGCTAATGAATATTTGAAGACGATTTCTCGCTACACGCAGTCAATGTTGGCCACGCGCATGCAAACAGAAACGCTTTGCATATCGACTACCGCTCCATTACCTAAATACATAACATACTTACATACATACGTGTAGATACTTATGTTTGTATCTATGTGTATAATATGTATACCTTTAGTTGTTTTCGCTCTAGCTTCACATGTGAGGAACGTCACCAAATGAGTTTCGAAATTTTTCGGTTATTGCTTAATTTGCTTTAAGCGAACAGCAGCAGCGCTGTAAGCGTTGACGTTGACGTTGAGATGCGACGTGCTGGGTTTATTTTGTGGCACGTCTGCTGCCGATTTTTCAGCATTTCTGTTAATCCACACTGATTTTTATAAATATTTCTTGTATTGAAATATTTTTATTTTTCGTAAATTTATAAATTATTTTCAAATTTTTACTAATTTATATTTGTTTCCTCCAAAAAAATGCTTTTTCTTTTTTACAATGTCACTGCAATGGTGCGCTGATAATTAATTAATAGTTGCTGTTGTTGCTTTGAGCATTTTTAGTATCTCCCGCGTTTTTGCTGTTGTTATTTTTAAATATTTTTTAATCTTTTCTTGACCAATAAATTTTTGGACAAATGCATTTGCTAACCTTTTTGGTGTTTTTACGAATTTCATGACTTTTTACGTTAATTCGGCTTCGTTGTTGCTGCCACACATAGCGGACAAGCACGAAAGCAACAATGGTTGACTCTACGCATACATACATACAATTTGAAGCTTTCCACTCGTCGCTAAGTTGACCACTTGTTGTTGCTCTTGTATTTATGGCTACCTGACTAACGGTCTATTCATTTCATTTGGTTGTTGTTAATGTTGTTGTTGGTTTAGGGCACAGGGGAAAGTTGCGAGTGAATTGATGTTAATGAATGCAGTAAATAAATAAATTTCGAAAATTTACCATTGTCGTATAGATATATATAGATAATATATATATACATATATATATGCACATGTATATATTTTTATTTTTGATTTTGCTTTGAGGAGTTGAGTGGGGTAAAAAGTACAAAACAGTCATTAAAAACTAAAAAAAAAAATGTGAAGAGAAAAAAGACGGGTCCATTATGAAAACGCAACAACGCAGAATTGTGCCACACAACGCTGCATGTTGCACACATATATTCGTACACAAATATTTCTAGCGGCAAATTTTAAGTGCAGCGAATTAATATAATAAAAATTAGGAAATCCGTGTTTTTTTTGTTTTTTTTTTTAATATTTACATATACATACACACATACATATGCCTATGGGTTCAGTTATGTATATACATATGTACGTCGATGTAAGTATTTCTTATGCATGCAACGCTGGTGACCTAATATTCAAACGCTACGTGCTTAGCGAGCTGTTTAGGTATTATTTTGTTCGTTAATTTCTAGTTTGAACTTATATAACTTAAATACCGTATGTTGCGAACTATGTGCCTACAGCCCTGAATAAATGCATGCATGTACATGAAGAAGCTTAAGAAAGTTTTATCTGCCACTGTGAAGTATCTTAAATCGCTTACATTTTTATAAAAAAAAAAAATCGATTTGACCCGACGGAAAATACGGGACCGATGACCCAAAACAGCGCTAATTACTGACTCGTTTGTCAAGTTTGAATTTTTACTCTTAAATAAATTAATAATTTCCCGGAGGTTTCTTCTTATTTTAAAAATCCAGGACAATACGACTGAGGCTAAAGAAGGCCTTAAAATCAGTATCTTTCATAAAAATAGCAAATGTCAAAATCTCTACCGATATTTGCTTTGCAGTACGCATACACACTAACATTAATATATCGAGCAAAATAAATAGTTGTACTGTCATTGAAAATAGTTTCAGCAAGCAGAAAACCTCCCCCATTACACACTTATAAAAGCATTTAATCAATCAAAATTTCGCCGCTGCACCGGTTTTCTATTTTCCCATATGAATCATTCTCTATTTTTGTTGTTTGACAGCTCAACCCCGACAAAAGCTTAGCTAAAATATAACAAATACCTAATTCGACAAAAAACGATAATGATCATTGATAACATTTGTGGCATACCAAATAATCATTAATAACGGTAATGGTCGAATAACGCCCACTGGTGTTTTTGCTTTTCTCAGAATGGAGTGTCTGCTGAGGGTATTTATTTCTAAAAGAAGCTTTTTTAAATGGCTTTGAGAATCAATATTTTCTGAATATAATTTTTTTATTTAACTTAATTTAATTTAATTTATATAACTTTATTTCGTTTTAACTAATTAATTTTATTTTTCCACTTCATTTCGGGTATTCCATTTAATTAATAATATTTTTCATTCAATTTGCTTTTTTAATTACATCATTCATTTTTTTTTTAATTAGCCTATTTAATTCATTTCTTTAATTTTTTTATATTTTGATTAATTAATTTAATATTTTTATTTTTATGATATTATATTATATTTTATATTTGTAATTTATTTATTTAATTTATTTCATTATATTTTTTATTTTTCTAATATTGTATATTTAATTTGTTTCAAAAGGCCAGGTTCGAGCGTCGGTCCGACCAACTTCTAAATCTTAAAGAAAATAAATTTCAATAAAAAATTAATTTCAATAAAAAAATAATTTCAATTTAAAAATTAAGTTGAATTTTCTAATTTGGTTCGCCCCTTGGAGGGGAATTCAAATCTCTTCTTAATTTAATTTATTTCATTTTTTTATCTTATTTATAAGCTGTTTATGTTTTATTTTTTGTTTTTTACTTTTATTATTTTTTTTTTAATTTCATTAATTTTTTTTTAGCTTAATTTCATTTTACTATTTTGCACTGATTTAATTTAATAGGTTTAGTTCAGTATTTTGCTCTTTTATATTTGATTTTTTTTGCTGTAATTTTGGTCGCTTTTTAATTTATTTTTTTTTTTAATCATTTATCTAAGTTTTATATTTTGATTCAAATTAATTATTTTCTTTTTGTTTAATTCAATATCCCATTATTTTATTTCCTTATTTCCCAATCTTTTTGCATAGAAATAATATTAGTTTCATCCCAAGTTGTCCTATTTTTATGTTTTCACTTTGTTGCTGTTTCTTTTCATATTCTATTCTTTTTAGCAAAAGAAAAATGGTTTGATGTGAGGGAGTTTAACGAAGCGATTTATGTTAAAAAAATGTACATCACACATACATACTCAAATATAGGCGTAAGGCGACAAATACTAACCATAGCCTCCTTCTTCCATCAAAACTTTGCTTCATTTCCATTGCGACACCTTTTCATATATATCGTACATAAATGAATATATGTTTGTTTGTTTGTTTGTTTGTATGTGAATGTGTTGATGATGATTTACTGTTGCTATGATTTATTTATATTTCTTTTATTCTCTTGCTTTGTTATGGCCATTCTCCTTTTGCTGTTGCTGCTATTGTTGTAAGGGCGAAACCGATCAGCCATCTACTAGGCACATTATCGTTATGATTAATGGGCGTAGGTGTCGCTCAACGGCCAAGATGAACAAGCACAGGCGGTCAGAAGGGCAAATGAATATCGCTTTTGTCAACGCGCCTAAATGTATGCAATGTGTATATGTATATACATACAAATAAATATTTTCGTAACTTTTATACGCTGCGTGTAAATATGTTGTTATTGTCAAACGACCAACCCAGTCGACAAAGCTGACTGACGGAGGGCGGGTTGGCGCGGGGGGTGTAAGGGCCGTTGGAATTTTCGTAACTTGTTTCTTTTGTTGTTTTATTGTTCATGTCGTAATTTTGCCCTATGATTGCTGCCAACTGTTGGTTGCATGATTGTTTGTTGTTCTGCTTTCTCTGACGACGAATTTCGTTGTTGTTATTGTTGTTGTTGTTGTTGTATGTGTGATTTCATTGCTGTAAAAAGATATGTTTGTATTTTTTTTGGCGAAAGTTAAGTCACTTTGATTGTTAATTCCTCCGAAATTGTTGTTGCCAGATACGTCCTGAAGTCGTCCATTGTTGCTTGTTGTAGTTGTTATTGTTTGTTGACACTTTTTATTGTTCGCAGTTTTTATTTAGTTTAATATTCATGTATTAGTACTGGGTTTGTGAAACTTTGCCAAAAACTTCGTTGTTGAATAATTTGTTGTAATTTGAATTGGTAAATAGCAGTGATTATTTTTCAGAGGGTACTGTCATATGGCCCTTTCCCTTTTTATTCCTTGGATCTGGTAGAAAGGAAGCGAGTCGCAAGGTTAGCGCACGGAGTATGGATAGAACTCGTCAGAGTATCTCCCTCAGCGTTTATTAAACATCAAATTGGCGGTCACACAGTCCTTTTCATAGGTTCAATTTTGACTTCATGAGCTTTAACATATTTAGAATTAAGGAACTATATCTACGAAGTCTTCATGAAAGAACATTAACAAGAGCATAACATTCGATTCTACTCACTTTTGGCGCCGATCGGGAATACTTATTGCAAGCAGGAGCTGCTCCATTCGATTTTTCCAATGTAGTAGAAGTCTTTATAATTATTAAATCCAACACTTTGACCAACAGTACACAGAGCAATGAAAGAAATCTCTACTTCTAAGATTTACACATCAAAATCACATCAAAGTTTTCAGTTTAATAAAAGGAAATATTTTCTACACCAATAATTGTTTTTTTTTTTTATTTATTTCTCCGATATTAAAACAAAATTATCAATGGAGGATCCGAACTCCACTTTGTTACCTTACATACTCGAGACGCTGAGCCGCAAGCCGGAGTTGTGTAGGGTCCATTCGACTTCTTACTCATTATACTGAAATTCTCATATGTCGTATTTGTTGTCTTTTAGGCGACACCTTCGATAACATCTGTAAAGAGATCGAGGACCAATTGCGTGTGGATAAAAACACTCGTTATGGTAATATACGAAACGCCTTGCAACGCGCCTTGAACGTCGGCCAGTCACTGGGCATTATCACCTTGTCCCATGAGACGATACGCATGCCATTTAATTTTCGCTCGACCTCAGTGGCCAAAGGTAAGGCACGGGACGACGTACAACAGGTGCAGCAGCCACCTATCGGCACCGGAAATCCGCCGGTAGCACAAAATACGAATGAACGTAGTGCAGCCGCGCTGCCGAAGAAACGCGTAAGTTGTCTTTGTTTGCTTTAACAAATAAAAAAATTGAGTAATTTTAATATTAAATCAATATTAGAGCCGTGAAGTGGAAAATAGTTTCTTCTCTCGGCGTCGTGATCCTGATTATATGAGTTCGCCTCCTATGCGGCACAGACAAGCCAGAGGTCGTCCGAGATCCCGTCCGCGTGCACGGAAGACTGCACGTAAGCCAATCCGTAGGCGTCCTTATCACAGAAGGCGTTGAGTGTGTCTTCGCGTAATGTATTTTGTTGCATTTTCTGCTAAAAATCCAAAATCTGTACGTTAAAAAATTTGTATTAAATAGAAATTTTTGATGAGTGTAATTTATTTTTTTAATCTAAAGAAGATCTAGTTTTCGGAATAATGTGTTCCTTTGCAAAGAAAGCAACCGTTCTCCTATGTAGGATATTTCAGATCTCGTCTGGATTCGAATTCAATTAGCCTCCGCATGGTTGACCGAACCAGAGACAAGTAACTAAAGAAAGTCTTATATGCAATGAAGCCGCAAAGCCTCGGGTAGGTTTATCGAAGTATTCGGTAGGTAAGCAAGAGAGTTTTCTTGCTCGACGAAATCACTCGTTCTTTTATTCTTCTCAAGAATATGCATTCATACAATTTAACTCGAAGCATTTCTGGATCTAGCAAGAATTTGCAATCTTCCCTCGTATACTCATATCACAAATAGTAAAGTTCGGAACTGACTTCGGGTTTCATGGATGTATTATGGAACCAAAAAGCTTGTGGATAGGTGACGCTATAGTCGAGTTGCTACAAAATACCGTATTTATGAAGCAATCTTATGCATATTCGAAATATTTATACACATTTTATACATAGAGCACATTCACATTTGTTAGATACCACCCGACTCAAATAACGAATCTCAGCTTCATTCGCTCTACAGAGCTTGCTATTCTCTTTTCGATCCTTAGTTTTTGTGCGCCAAAATGGTTGGGCAATAATGGGATTATTTTGTTTTGGAGGTAAGATTTCAAGTGTAAAAGCTTTGTATATTGCAGACTATCAGATTCGGGAGATGAAGCACAGCGGGAGAGCAGAGATAAGGTCTAGTTTATCTGCGAAATAATCCACGGAAGAAAACTAAAACTCTGGATAGAGTTAAAGAAATAATTTATTTTCGTTTTTAAGCTGATTTTGGGTGCAGAAAAATGAGACGGAGAAACTTCACTGACATCACGCGATCACTCATACAATTCCACAGACAAGCAGTCAGACGCATTGCTAGGCAGGGATGCAGCACACGCAGATATGTTGCATAAGCACATATGTATTTATATAGACAGACTCTGTCAGAGTAAGTAGAACACGGACGAACGTCAGCCGCATAGTAACAAAATGTTGCATGAGGAAATGAAAATATGAATACACACATAATAAGCTTACCGCAAGCCCACGTGACACGAAAAAAATTTATATAATAAATAAATAAATATTTTCTCATAATAATTCTACGAATATGCATGTTTGCCAACCTTGATGGTATCAAGTATGTTGTGAATTAATACCGGTTTAGCCTTACATATTGTACGTTTGTATGTAGAAAGCAGGTCACGTGTTTATTCGCCAAGAGCTGCACGTGCAACATATCGTTTTCATTTTTACAATTACAAAATCAATCACTTACCATATGACTAAAAGGACAGAAGGTCTTTAGAAGCACTTTTTGCACAGACACACAAATATATAAAATATTCTGCCAAACATATATTTATTAAATGTTAAACGCTAATGAATAAATCAAATAGAAATCCAGCCGCGTTTCCCTGAAAATACAACTCTTCAACGCATTGCAAATCACAAACTTAAAGTTTGGTTAAATCAAAGTTCGGCTACTCGCACACTCAACTACTGTGCCACCGCCACATACAAACTTCTCCAACTCCTTTCAGGCAACTACTTATGTATGCACTTGCCCTTTGCTCTCTCCTCGATTTTATTGCCCAGATCGTCTGATATGGTTGGCAGTAGCAATTGTGAATCCTTTGAAGCTTGTGAAATTAATTTTCCGCGCGTGTCGAAGCATAAATAATCAGTCTTACACGCCTAGTTGACTATTCTCAGCTGCTTACCTATATCTAACCTTATGTTAGCCTGCCACCTTTGGTGCTTTGACTTGCTCGGCTGCTCGACTGCTTGCCTGCTTACCTCTGTACCTCTCTACGTTACTTGCCTACCTTCCTAGAAGAATTTTAAGCTACTGTCGGCAGCTTCCTCACTCCATCCTCATATGCATTTATCTACAAGTATGTTTATCTGTTTAACTCTGCCTCAAATTCCGTTTATTGGTGGGCTGAAATGATGTTTTTCTGGCCGTTGAAAGGTATGAATGGTTTTACTACTTTTTGTAGTCCAGTGGTGAACTGGAGTGCCTTTGTGAGCTGTTTTTTCGGCTCAAACTCAATGGCTTTGCGGTTCACTTGGTTGGCTGCTGTTGGTGTGTTTTTTGTATAGAGTTGCTTGGCCTTGCTGTTCTTAAATTGTGCAGAGAAGGAGAGGCAGTTGATAAGCTTTGGCTCATTTTCAAGGCAATACTTTTTATTTTCTTCACCCGATGAGAGTCGACTCGTCGTTGTCGCTTGAATACAATTCTTCCAATCAAACTTTTCTTCACGGTATTCACCTCATCAACCAATTGGTTCGCTTTAGTCCGCATTACTTTTCCACTGAAGACGAATCAGATTAGTTTGTGAGCTTACGTAATTTACATAAAGTAAAAGATTTGGACCTGCACTAAAAACTTCCGATGGATGGAGTGGTCTTGAAATAAGGTAACTAGAAGAAGTTTGGGCGTATGCAGCCACAGCCAGATGAACTTGGTCTTCTTATGCTCATTTGGCTAAAATCACACTTTAACGGTTTTTTTCTAGTTGATTTATTAGTAGCAGATAAATCGATGGTCACAGAAAAAGAGTTCTTCGGGCCATACTTTGATACACACATTTGTTTACGCTTATCGAAATTGAGAACTACTCGTGGCATAGTATTGTGTTAAGTTGATGTGGTTTTTTCTGGAGGCTACCTTCTATTGGCCTGTCAGGATGGCACTCCTATATGTAGACATTTGTATGTATTGAAGAAACCATCATAAACAAATAATAGTATATAAATCGTAATAATGAGATCTTTGAATTTAAATCATAATATAGAAATCCTAATTGTAGTTTTAGGAAAGACTGAATAATATTTATATTATTTCTGTTTATGCCAATATATATTAATTTTTTTTTACTTAATTATAGTTCGGTTTACATATATTGAATCAAAGGTTATTGAAATTGAGGCATTTCCAGCTGAAATTATGTTAACCTAATTTAGTTTAGTAGGAAACTTAAACTTCACCGCATAATTCAATCACCAATAAATTAACGAAATTCTAATTTTCAGTATTTATGCTTTATTTGTTATTTTCCTTAAAAATATAATAAAGTACAGTATAACCGTTAAGCAGCTGAGCGAAATGTATACCACTTCTAATTTATTACGATACTAAATAGCAAAACCTCAGAGTCATTAAGGCAAATTGTGCCAAAGTTGCTAAGTATTTATGCAAACTTGCACACACACACTCATACACATACACACAGACACAAGCAAACGATAAAATTGCTAAAAGTTTCAATATGCATAAACCATAAAATTTGTAGTGCCACAAAAAGAGCAGCAGCAGCAGCAGCGGTGGCTTATCGAGTAAATTAGATTTTGGCGCACATTGAAAAGGATTTTCAACTCGTAAAACACAATCGCGTCAAATTAATCAAAGCGGTAATAAGAGTATATACGAGTATATATATATGTATGTATGTATGTATTGTATTAGATCAAGCAGTCACGGCAGTAGCGATAGCAATAGCAACGCGAGTAACTGTGGCAGGCATGTCAAGGCTGAATGGAAACTCATTTTGTATTTTATTTCATTTAAAAAGTTTTTTTTTTTGGTTTTTTTTTTTAATTTTGTCTATTATCATCACCGAAAATTTACGAGCGTACTTCAACAATTTGGCTTAGAGATGCCTCATTCTGCGAAATAGCACTTCTCGGTTAAGCTTTTGAGCTTTTGAGCACCTGCTTTGGTGCGTCCCGGTACAACTTCTGCTGTTAAAAGTTTGAAGTTTAATGCTGAGTTGCTGAGCTATTTTATTTTGTTCTTTCTGTATGTGATTCTGTCTTTTTAGTACTTCAGTCGCGTGTGACACTTCACTTTGGCTACTTGTTGTTGTCTGTTTGACGTCGCATACGTCCAATTACATACTCACGAGTGCGAGCATATCTAAATTGCCACTTACGCCACAGCGTTAACTTGTCAGTATGGGTAAACTTCATCAGTGAAATCCTCTGAAATCCCTGTAGTCTATTAACTTTACCTATTCCTTGCTCTTTGCCCACAGGCTACGTGAGCTCGCTCGTCGTTAAACATAGACATTTTTTTTTTGCTTATTCTCCGATAAAGACAGGCTTTATAAAATCGTTGAGAGTTAGCATGAGAATTATGGTGAGAGAGTAACTTTCCATTTAAGCTATTTAAAAAGCTCGGTAGTGTAAATCAGAATGTTGTTCAGAATCGTGTAAAGAGAGGTCCACCGAGTGGTAAAATTGAAGGCCAGCGCATTTAGAATCAAATACGAGCCTTAGATGTGTTTCTGGAACTATAAAACGTTAAAGCAATGAGCAATGGTAATCTCGGGATGTCTGATGTATCAGCGTTATCTCAGGGTACATATCAGAACTGACTTTCGAAAAATCGATTTGAGTGTGTATGAGAGTAATCATTTTGCTTCCATTTCGGTGCTAAATGTACAGAATTGGAAGAAGAAAGAGATAGAAAATCTTCAGTGACCTCAGACCTCCAATTAGAGAGGTTAGATGTTGGAGAGGATTTTTCAGTGCCAAAAATTAGCTTGTTACCACATTCTGAAGCATTCAGTTAAATGTGGTATAGAGAAGTTTTGGTACACGATATTTCCGGAAACTACACGCATAAAATATTTTCCCCGGCAGTGGCCTTTTTCCCACAAAACTCGATTTAACGTTGCTGCAGCAGGGTTGAAATTTTGAATATCTCATGCGCATTAGTTTTTCACTATAAAAATTTTCAATATCCTTCACCACAATATTTTTTTTTTTTTCAACAGTGACGATTATTTCCGAGTTATAGCAAAGTCGCTTGGTAGGATTAATCCAATCAGAGTCATGTAAGCCAGTTCCCTCAAATTATTCCTGGCCAAACTTTTATTAAATTTGCTCATTTTTTTCTATCGGCGCGTAATTTTGGAAAGTCACCGAATACTTACTTCGTTCGCCCGCT